GAGAACTATATAAAAGAGGGAAGACTTGCAGAGTCTTGGAGCAGCAACAGAGAAAGCCCTGTCACCTTTAGATTTTAAATGGGAGCATGGGACCCACATAAGTATTTGACTGGAGGACGCAGAGTTGGAGTGGTTAGGTGCAGGCTAAGGAGATCTGAAATGTAACCTGGAGCAAAGCCACAGAGAGCTTTAAAGACAAATTGCAAAACAGCAATCTAATCTGATCTGATCTAAGAGCAAGTGTTTTTGTTTTCTGACAGGCCACAAAACTTAATACTTAATGTATTACAACCAAATGTAAGTAAATGTCTCATATTTGTCATTTTATTTAGGCGGTGGTGGGAATAAAACATACTCTGCAGAATTTAATACCTTTATCTGTTATTTTTATTTTGATGCAAGGCAGTATTTGTCCATTGTCTATTCTTTTAAATATTGAGATCTATCAGGCTTTGGCATTAGATATTTGTATTTTGACTCTTTTGCAAACCAGTTTTTAGCTTTCACTAAAATAAAATAAAAATGCTGACAAAAAGCTGATGATTGTTTTGTAATAAGTTACTTATCTACCAGGCTCTGTTTTGAATAAGTTAAGTCAAAGTTAAGCCAAATTTAGATGCAGGAACAGGCACAGAATGTTTTCATTATGATTTCAATACACAAAAGGCAAGTTTTCCCATGTTTTAATAATATCACATGACTTGCATTCCACAGCTGAAGAACCACTAGTGCTTTTCCATTATCAGTGGTTTTTAACTTAGCAGAAGCATTTTTGGTAATATGGCGGCCAGTTACATCAACACAGTCAAAAATATGCTACAAACAGGAAAGTGGTGAAACCTGTAGTTGTGCATGTCGAAGACAAAACTATGTTACAGCATGTCTGCAAATCTCAAAACACTACTCTTCAGTTGTTTTTACCCATTTCCAAACCGGAGAGGCATTTCTATTTTTACTGTACATCAACTCTAAAAGAAGTGAACTTTTAGGTTTAAAATCTGATGAATTATGTCAGCTGGCTGACTGAGCTGGATAATTCTCATGGGAACATTATGCTCTATTCCTGCTTAAGTCAACAAAAGCGAATATAACTTTCTCACAGCATGAAAAATATCTCTCTCTCCATCTGTCTTTTCCATTACTGCTTATTTCCTCTTCAACAGACTTATGCAGCAAAGCTCAGAGATGCTTTATACACTTTTCACTAATGAAGTAGTTATACATGAGTGTGTCTCTGTGTGTCCAATACAAGTACATGGGGAAGAAAACTCTAAATGTTTGTCTGAGCTAAAAAATACACATACGGTAAGTAAAAGCATGATAAACCCATGAGACAAGAACAATCGTGTCTATACTTCACTTGAGTTTTAGGTTACAAACATACCTTGTGCACTGTGAACAAAGAAACACGAACAAAGTTGTGTATCTGCAACAAGTTAATAAAACACATTTACTGTGCTTAAAGGCAATGTCAAACAGTTTTCTAAACACATGTTCAGTCAAGAACCCTGGGATTTCAACAAGCTATGGATGCAATTATTTGGCAATAATCAAAGGTAAGTTCAAAATTACAACCTGTCCCAGCATAAAATGAACTGCACTGCACTTGCTGAATGTTTGTTTTAAAGGTGTTGGCTATGGCAAAGTAAGCAAGAGTATGAGTGGTAAGACAAAACAAATCCTGATGTTTCACCAGCTCAGCAGTGTCTTTCAGTCTTAACACAATCGTTTGCAAGTCCTGAAGCTTTAAAAAGCAAAGAAAAAGCATAAAGATTTCTCCTTTTCTAATGTAATTAGCTTAAAACGTATCCATTCCAAAAAATAAGTGAGGCTGATTCAGTTCAATAACTTTAAAAAAAATCCTATGTCAATAATCCGTTGTCATCTATAACCAATATTACTTGGTAGATCATTTACATTCAACAGGTTTAGCAATAAACTCCATTGGCATATGAAAAAATAACTACCCAATCAGACACGTTAATTAGAATCAGTCAGTCTTATCATGTTGTTAATGGAGCAGAAAAGTGAAATGTGCTGTGTTAAACATTCTTCTCATACCTAACCAGTAAAAAATGCTTTTGTTCCAGGTCTGTTATGGTTGCTAACTTGACATCAAACCACAAAGCTCCCCGCTTGAGTAGAGATACGGGCTACATGATACAGAAGAGCAGCCCTGAAACCAATGAATTGTGACAACAATCAAATTCCACAAAGTCACCACTGTTACCTGACTACTACCACAACCACAGACTGATGTGCATCTGGTTTGGATAACAGTGGTTAGCTTCACTGCAAATCAAATCCAGCTATTGTTATATAGATAGTGAACCAAACACAGCATAATCGCTGCTACACTGCAACCAATCTTCAAGTTTTTTGACAGTGATTAGGAGAATGCTGCCACAAATGTGTCACTAAGATAACTAACTAGTGGATAAGGAAAAAACTGTGTTGTGTCTCCTACCTATTTGCAGCAGAACTGGTGTTACCAGAGCGGTTTCCATGGCATAGCAAAACTCACGTCCAAACATCACTGTCCCATGCATTACCCAGCGATGCAGAGGGATTCGTACTCCTCTGCCTTCCTCATCCATGTCTGTCTCACTCTCACTGTCATATGCTTCTTCTTCTTTGGGTCTTCTGATCTCTGGAAGACGAGAAGCATCTCCACCCTCAGCTGCCATCTCCATTTCAGTCTGGTTTGACTTCAGGGGAAACATTTGCTTGTGGCTGTTATAGATCAGTATATATGTCTTTGTGCCACAGTTTTTCCTATAAATGCAAGCACAATCTTACCATCTTATCACTGTCAAAAAGTGTAATAGGCATAGTTTTCACCTTGATTTTTTATAGCTCATGAGAAGATAAAGCTATTTCAGAAGACTAACAAGTCACTACTAAGGTCAAAGCAAAAGAAACACAGAGGCGAGAACAATCACAGTTTTAGCACATCTCCAAAAGTATTTAATGGTGATGGGTAGGGAAGAGTGTAAGAGAGGCGAGGTGGGGTGATAAGTGTTTTATGGTCTCCAGCAGATGTTTGTGGTGGTGACCTGCAGTGAACTCCTGAATAGAAGTGGCTGTGTGCATGAAGTTTGGGCAAGTCCAACTAAGAAAGTTTGTGCTAGTCAGGCAAGTCCGAGTTAAAATATCTTGAGATTTCTCAGTAAACTCCTACTAATAATCTTACAAATTAACCTGCAAAAACAAAACAAACAAGAAAAACAGATACCAGCTGTGCAAAAAGCTAAAGCTATGACAACACAGGATGTAGCTTTGCCTTGATTTAAACAGGGAAACCTGTTAGTGCATTTTCCAGAAAATCTGTTCAGTCTCCAAATGCTGATACAGAAGTCTTATTATTATTAAGTAGATTTTTTAATGAACTGTTATTTCTGCAAGTAAATTCTAGTGTGAATGAAAAAAAAATACACCACTGTCCTAGAAGGGTGCTGTAGCAACATCTTCCCCCAGAATTGCTTTATTCCCTCCTTATAAGATAAGATAAGATAACCTTTATTAGTCCCACACGTGGGAAATTTGTTTTGTCACAGCAGGAAGTGGACAAAACAAAAGTTATGTAGCAAAAATTAGAATACAATACATTATATTAATTGTATAACTCCCAGAGCCACTACTCAAAGAGATAATACCTCCCTTAATGATAAGATGATGTTGATGGAGAGAGTGGTCAAACAGATCAACCCATACCAATGCACAGGTATCCAGTTTGGTTCAGAACTGGTGACAGTGAAGGTCATAGACTCCTAGCACTCTCATATCTATCATCATCCTGGAAGAGATCAGTGCCCTTAGGATTTAATTTTCTTATCTTACAACTCTCTTTTCAAGGGGAATAAGTGGAACCAGACACTGCCAACAAAAGGCCTAAGAGTTCGAACAGAGACACCTGATTCCCTTAGTCTAGGGTTTGAGAGGTTCACCCCATAATGGGTTTGTATAAATTAAGCCGTAAGACATAACAAATAATTTACAATAAGTATAAACATCATAGACTCAAATAAAGGGCCAAACGATCAAAAAACTTAGACTGAATTAACCCAAGATTGCTCTGTTAAATCCAGTGACATCGCCACTATCTAGAACCTTTAAGTCATAATAGCAAAATCAGACTCATAGACAAGAGCCACATTAAAAAATAAACCATTATTACACCACTATTGCTGTTGCGTAAGTGGAGCAGAAAGCAAGCAGATCCTATTGACACATACCTTACAAGAGAGCATGGCAAAGACCATTCTTCTATTCTTTACTTATTCATTTTCTGCCTGGCTCTTCTGAGTTGAGCAATATGAAAAAAAAAGCTTAGATCATGTATAAGTTGATGTTTAATGAGAGCTTTGTGCAGTTTTCTGTCATTTTCACAAAGAGACAGATCAAAGTGTTTTTGTGTTTAGTTAGTAATCCGAACAAATTAATGTAGAAAGGTAACTTTTTTTTAAACTTCATCGAGGTGTGTGAGCTGAATTCTCACAGGACTGTGTGTACACGTGAAGGTCCGAGGGGCTCGTTGGACCAGTTATGACATGTTTTGCCTCACCTGAACTACCTGCCAGTCTATAAATAATAAATTAATATATTAAAAATTATTTGCCGTTTTATGCGAATAAGGCGCACAGCGATAAAAGTGTATTCTCGTCTGGACTGAGAGGAAAACACCAGAATTCAGGCGCATTACCGTTAACCTGACTTTGACTGACGCAAAAAGTTACCTTAGCAAGCTAGGCTTGGCTGATATTAAGCAGCTTACGTTAGCGAGTTAATAGCGGAGAAACCCACTTTCATGACAGACAGGAACGTGTAACGTACCTGAGATTTTACAGCGCTGTGGTAAAGCTCAGCCAGTTCCGCATTGTGGAAAACTTCTATGACGTGTTAGCACAAAAAATAATAATAAGAAGAAAAAAAAACCTCTCACTTCTTTAGGTTTGCAAAACCTTTGCAAGCTAACTGGGTGACCATAGGGTTTACTACACTCACCAATTTCAATGGTTTCCACATTAACACAGCGGGGCGTGGCCATCAGAAAACCTTCGTGACGTCAGCGAACGCCTCACCTATGGACGCCGGTGAAAGGGCAACTAGCTAGCATGATATAAGTGGAACCAACTGCATGGAAAATTGCATGGATTGATAACATAAAGAAATGAAAATATGTCAACAATAATGGACCTCAAGAACTGGAAAAAAAGACAATTCACAAAGTCATAATGGAGGATATTTATTTATTTATTCATAATTCATTAATTCATTTACTCTTTTGTTTATTAGCTAGCACGCTTTCGACTCTTCCTAGAACTTGGTCCTATAGCGCTATACATGTTCCTATATGTTGTTCCTAAATCATTGACTTTGACTAACTTGACCATTAATTCGGTTAATTCCCTCCCTGCTCCAATATACATTTATTGTGATCTAGAGCTTCAAAAACAGGCTCTGAAGATTGATTAATTAGAAGCCATCAGTTCTTCAGGCTATTTAAAAATCGCATAATATTATACTCTGTTGTAAAAAATAAATAAATACATAAACAAACAAACAACCCTGTGCTTACATTCACAGAATCATTCGTCCAAGCGGTTTCCAATGCGCTGAAGTTTCCTTCGGGCTCGTTCTCCATTGGTTTTTTCAAAGAATAGGCAATGCTGCTCCCTGGTGTACATCAGTAGTTATTATTCTCTAATATGTTCTGATTATATTACTTGTTTGGGGATTGAGGAGGAAAATGCCCTCACTATTAAAGAAAGACAAGAAGAGAAAACGTATTTAATATACTTTTTAAATTCACATCTCAGTTTCTGAGCTGGTTAAAGATTGCATGGGATTAGAAATTAGTATATATCAGAGGAACAGCACAAGTTGAGCTGTTTGGGGACAAAGTTAGAGAGGCAAGGCTGAGATGATTTGGACACATGGCGGGCAGAAATGATGGATATACTGGACAAACAATGCTGAAAATGGAGCTGCCAGCAGGAGGAAAAGAGGAAGACATCAGAAGAGGTTCGTGGATGTAGTGAAGGAGGAAATGCAGACAGAAGAGGATGTTAGATATAGGGTGAGATGGAGGCAGATGATCCACTTTGTCAACCTATAAAGTGAACAGTCAAGACAACAAGTGTTTAAAATGAGCTCCACCTTAAATATCAGGAGCAGCAATACTGATCCATATATCACTGATGGGGAATATTTTGGTGCAGGATGAGTACTTTTACTTTTGACACACCTAATGTACAGTTTTCCATTGATACAGTTTAATGGGCAGTCAGGTATTTTCTAAGTGTTTTATTGCTTCATTTGCTAAACTAATAGTTCTATCAATGGTAACGACACTGCTCAAAAGTTTGCCTGTACTGATGTGGACTGGGTAATGTGTTGGGAAATAAAGGATCCCACATCGTTTGACAGAAATGAAAACGATCAACCAACAGAGAACTGAATTTAAAGACGCCCTGAAAACCAAATTGAAAAAATGATGTAGCAGCCTAGTCCGTTTTTCAGAAATTTCATTGCAACAATTCCAAATGTTACTCAGTATGTTGTATGGCTTTATGTATGGCCTGTTTGCATGCATGCCTAACAAGGATGAGGAAACTTATGGTGCCTTGGAGGATCTCCTCCCAGATCTGGACGAAGGCATCACTGAGCTACTCGACAGGACAGGACAACTTGGATGGACATAATATCCCAGAGGCGTTCCATTGAATTTAAGTCAGGTGAACGTAAGATTTCATTTTGATACCAAATATCAGTCAGGGTGGGTAACCTAGCCTGTAGAGGTCTGTGCATCCCTCCATAAGCCTTTTCATCCCTGACCCATCCCCAAACCAGTCGTGCTGAACAATGTTAAAGCCAGTATAACGTTTTCCATGGCTTTTCGAGAACCTTTCATGCCTCAGGGTTAATCCTCAGAGTGACCCTGCAAGAAAAGCTCAGGCTCAGTGGCAAATTTTGATATTATACAGCAAACGTCAATTAGGCTCCAATGTCCTGACAGTAAGCACAGGGCCCACTGAGTAAAGCTACCCTCATTAAGTTTGTCTGTGAATGATTGGTCAGAGACATTCATACTGGACGCCTGCTAGTGGTCATTTTGTAGGGCTCTGGCAGTCTTCTTCCTGATATCTGCTTTTTGCACAAAGGAGCAGATACCAGTTCTGCTGATGGGTTAAATACTTTTTAAAACACTTCCCAGCTCTTCTAATGTAACTGTCTGTCTCCTAGAATCTACTCCATGCTCTTGAGTCTCTGCTGGAAGACACAGCAAACCTTCTGGCATCCTGGAGGATTGGACTACCCGTGCAACCTCTGTAGGGTCCAGGTATTGTCGTATGCTACCAGCATTGACACTGAGTCTAGTCACATGCAAAACTGATGAAAAAAACAGCCAGAAAAGATAAGGAGGGAAAAATGTCAGAGGCCAAACACATTTTGTTTAGCAGTGTATTTAAATGAAAACTATAGAAAGAATAACATTTTACAATTTTTCAGCCAGGAAGAGTCCAGCAAGAGGCTGCGAGCACACTGTTTTAATCTGGTCCAGTTCGTCTTGTTAAAGAGTCTCACCTTTCTGTAAGAGTGACACCGCGCCACTGATGAATATGCATCTTATTTCTGCCAAATTGAATGGCAGAAATAAAAGGAAAACAGACAACACTGGAATATTTACCATTTTATTGAGACATTTTCTTGTGTAGTTTCTAATAATATCCAGAGGGCAGTTGGCTAAATTGACCAAGTGTCTATAGACATTGACAAATGAACAGTCAGTCCAGAGCGATGGCAATGTTTCTTGGTGTGAATATCATATACATGTGAATATCTGCATGTTATTGTGTTGGCGCTCATCATTGAAAAAAACAATGGCAGCACTGAGTGTCTGTGTTGAGTTCTGCTGGTCAGCAAGTTGCAGAACTCAGAACTTTAACTGTGCCATCCCTATAACTTATAGTTTTATGCACCCTTTGTAAAAGATTTTACAGTGTGCGGTCCTTTCCTGTGTTGCTGCTCGGCAGTGATCTGAGAATCTTGGTCATCAATATAACATTATTAGTCATGGCGTTGTCCGTCCCTGCTGAGGCTTTAGAGCTGTGCTGCATACTGACAATGTCACCACTGGTCTGCTTGGGCTCTGCGCGGCGGAAAAGATGTCTCATAGTGGCCTGGAGACAGCAGGAGAAGTAAATTATTTGGAGAATCAATGAGTAAAAAAATGATGATGGGCATATCACACCCGAAGGGACAGCTGGATGTGGAGAAAAGAAGAAAAATGTCAAGTTAAGTTAAAGAATGTGGAGGAAGAGAATAGGAAAAGTGCTTCAGTCTTACCTGGAAATTATTTGTAACAAAACAGTAGACAACAGGATCCATACAGCTATTCAAACTGCTGAGGGTGACAGTTAGATGGTACACTATCACATGGTGAGGCATGTCAGGGTAGAAGTATACCACCACCTGCAGCACAAACAGGCAATGCCAAATGTTCCCATAAAAGCAAATACATTTTTATCATAAGGTCAAACAAAAACGTTCATTTCATTAATATGTTTATTGTGTTTCACTGTTTACTGTTTTTATCTTTGTTGTATTTTATTAAAATTATAACTTTGAGATCCTTACTAGTTTCCCTACTTTTGTATTCAGCTTTTTTAAAATAACATTCTATTGTATTTTAGTTTAGTATTTTATGTTAACTTTGCAGTCAATGACTGCCTGAAGTCCAGAAGCCATTTATATCCAAATGCTCAGTTTTCTCCTCTGCCAGGACTTTACTGCAGTCATCTTCAGTAGCTGTCTGTTTGTGGATCTTTCTGAATTCAGTTTTGTCTTTGGTAACTGAAAAGCCTGCTCTACTGGGTTGACTGACTTGGGCATTGAACATTGTCCGATTTCTTTGTCTTGGGAAACGCTCTGGTTGCTTCTGCGGTAAGGTTTTTGTCACCATGAAGTGCTGTCTGGATCTGATCAGAGTACAGCCCTGCTCACCTCACAGTTCATCCTGCTGCTTCTGTTAGCAGTTGCATCATCAATAAATACTAATGACCCTGTTATACTGGCAGCCATACATGCCCATGCGATATCACTGGCTCCAACCATGTTTGACATATAACGTGGTATGCTTTGGATCATGAGCTTTTTCTTTGCTTCTCCATACTTTTCTCTTCCCACAATTCAGGTACAAGTTAATCTTTGTGTCATCTGTCCAAATAATCTTTTCCTGCACTGTTCAGGCTCTTTTAGATGGTTTCTGACAAAGTCTAATCTGCCCTTCCTGTCCTTAAGTTTAACCAGTGGATTTGCACCTTGCTGTAAACCCTTTGTGTTTACATTCATGAAGGCGTCTCTTGATTGCAGACTCTGACAATGATACATGAACCTCCTGGAGAGTGTTAGTGAGGAAACAGGCTTCATCTGACAATAAAATTATTTATCAGGAAGTTGTCCAATTATATTTGAGCTGCTGAAAATGGAGGACTGTGTGCTGTGTGTATACTGTATGTATGTGTATACATAAACTTTCTGTCTTTTTAATACATGTCAATATTGGTTTGAAATATTGTACATGTATTTTTGTCTATATATTTATGTTATATATATATATATAGATTTTTCTTTTGTTGCTTTATCACCTGGTAATATTGTCTAATCAAAATTGTCCTGAACCTACCGGTGACCCACAATGCAGGGTCAAGGTTCACCCAAGCATGGACATAATTTATGAGCAGTTCAAGCAAAGGCTGGTTTTCTGCCTCACATTTGTTCATTTGTAATCCTTTTAGAGGATAAAGTTGAAAGCATCCACAGTTTCATAAGGGAGAATACAATCATTAATACTACTTGGCCTTTTACTTTATATATACTTGTTGCAAATACTTGTTGCTCACCTGTCTAACATGAAAGGGTGTGAAACAGACTGTGAAGATGATCAGCACAGTTGTCAACAGCTGGACAGCTTTCCTTCTCCTATCCCTGAGAAAATAAAGTTAAAGATACCATTATCTGCATATTTTTATGGGATATAAACTATCCTATGTGTCAGTGAGTCAAAGACAGACAGACGGCTCACATACACACATGGAACAAAGAGGCTCACATTCAAACCCAGTTCAGAATCAACATTTAACAACCCCCCTGCACATCTTAGGACTGTACGGTGAAGCTGGAATAACTGGAGAGAATCCATGTAAACAGTTAATGCAGTGCATCCTAAAAGTATTCAGAGCGCTTCACTTGTTCCACATTTTGTCATGTTACAACCTTATTCCAAAATCGATTTATTTACATTTCACTCGAGATTCTGCACACAATACCCCAAAATGACAATGTGAAAAAGGTTTGCTTGAAATTCTTGCAAATTTAAAACAAAAAACAAAAACATAACATGTATATAAGTATTCAGAGCCAGTGTGTGATTTCCTCTGAATATTTTGTGGATGCACTTTATTTTCTTCAATACAAGAAAAACAACTTTAGTTTTCTTTCCCGCCATCTGTCAGTGTAATATTGGTTCTACCTACCTGCTCTGTTGCATCAGACGACGGTCTGTTAAGGCCCACATAATGCGCAAAGTGAAGACCACAATGATGACAAGTGGTAGAAAGAACTCAGTGATGGTGAGAAAGAGGAGCTTTGAGAGACAGCAGCCTGTGTGCTGAAAAGCGGTGGAAAGAAAGGAGTAGGTAACCACAATGGCAAACAGCCATACAGAAATGCAAACACATTTGGCCACACTGGAGTTCCTCCAGCGACGAGAGGCTTCAGCCTACAAAGACAGAGCAGAATGTGCAGCCTTGTAAGTGTCTAGCATTTTCAAAAGCACGACTGTGTAACCAAGCTACAGACGACACTCACCTGCACAATGGCAAGGTACCGGTCGACGCATATGCAGGTTAGAAACAGGATACTGCAGTACATGTTGACAAAGTAGCTGAAGATATGCAGATATGAGCAGGTGATACAAGCTCCTCCACTGTAGTAGAGCAGGATGCGAGTCGGTAGAGAGAGATTCACCAAGAGGTCACTCACGGCCAGGTTGATGGTGTAGATGACTGAGGTGGTCTTTTGCTTGGTGCGGAAACAGAAAACATAAAGTGCAACTATGTTGAGCACCATGCCCACCTGAAAAACCAAAAGAGTTAAAAGATAGATGCGAGAAAAATTAGTAAGAGGTACTAAATTTCAACATAGAAATTATGTGCAACATTAAAAAGCCTTCGTCAAAACACCTTACCAGGAAAATAAGGGAGTTTATCACCACCAGTGCAATCCAAAGGCCATAGAAGTCATTGTAGAGCCCCTCATCTAAATGTGCCAGTCTTTGAAGATATCTTTCCATACCACTTGTGTTTGCTGGACCCGATATTTGAGGTGTATTAAAGGAAGTGTTGATGAAAAGCCAGGACTCTGTACCATTAATGTTCATCATCATGATGATGTGCGATGAGGTGATAAGCCGCCTTAATGATGCTGATGAGGATTGTGAGGATGACACGGATGATAAAGTGGAAACTGTCAGAGAGAATAATACAAGTTTTATAGATATAGATATATACACCACATTTACTGACAGATCCACGCATTAGTTGCATTAGTTTTCATGTTTAAACAGAAACCTGCAGTTTTACAGTTACATCACCTCTAAAGGCCTGCCTTGCATGTTACTTCCTCTTTTCTATGTTTGACTTCAGCATCTACAGAGAAACACAGAGACACACACTGTCCTCCTTTTCCCTGATGCTCACTCTCTCTGTCTCTGACCTCATACTGGCTGTTGCTGTTGTCACAGATACACTGGCATGGCTATTTTAGACCAATATCTGGCTTGTTGAACCCATATATTTATAATGTAACTATATTTATTTATCACTACAGCAATACTCCCTGAGGGGCTAGGATTAATTCTCATTCCAGCTATTATTACAAATAAAAAAATAAATACTTTTGCTCTTATTGGCCAAGATATAACCCTCTCACAAAGTACAGAAACAACATGTCATTACTCTGTACATCCAGGGACCTTTTCATTTAATCATAATAAAAAAGAGAGAGATCATTTGTTTTCTTTTCCATTTAAATAGCTCACAAAAGCTTAGATCTATAGTAAGAGAGTCATTTCATGGCTACATTAATTAGCCCCTGTTTGAGCTGGCGTGTGTATGTTTATTTACTTTAATTATTTTACTTTAAATGACTTTTACTAAAAGTGATCTGAGGATTTTACACCTAAAGCCAACAGGACAGCAGTAGCGTGTTGAGATGAAGACTGTGAAGGAGAAGAAAAAGGTTACAGAATCAATCTCATGGAGAATCTACTGGCATTTAAAGCACTAAAAAAGGCCAAAGTCGCGTGATGTTTCGCATAAATGAGCTGGATTTCACTCCTGCATCCTTTGTCTTCCATGACAAATGCAGTTTAATTGCTCCTGTGAGTGCCACACTGGAAAGGTTTAAGAAGCCCAGTGTATGTGATGCCCGGAGTTTGTGTTTTGTGCTCCTTGCTTACAACAAATCTCTTAGCAAAATAATCATCCGGCTGATGAAAAATGTAGTCTATTCATGCTAATGGGAATAACATGCTCAACTGAGGGTGAGGCATGAATAATGTGATTCATCTGCATGAACCGGAGCAGTCTAGCCACACAACATTAAGAGCACTGAAGGAAATAAATGAGTGTTTTCACAGTAACACCCTCTGATATTAGTCAGCTTATTTGACCTAGTTCATCATTATTAACAGTGCTTACAAGCGTTATAGTGGAGCACTCTGAGGAAAGTTTTTATTTAGGCACTTGCTTCTTTCTCTCTCTTTTATGATATATGCACAAATATGAGTGTTATTCATTCTAAGCAACCCATGAACTATGTGTAAGTTTCAGCAGAATGGCAAAAAAGTTAGCCCTGTTGTCATTTCTTCTTTATTTCACTCTTAGAAATGTAGTCAGACATTTTCCTGTGACACCCGTAACTACAGCCAGTTGCATTTAGTTTGCCATTACACACTGTTCATAAACCGTGTCTTCACAGGATCCAAATGAAATGCTTTAGACTTTATAAATAGCCTATGAGACAATATTAAATTAATGATTAATTATTAATGTTAAATAATATTTTACAGAGCATGAGAAAGTGTATATTTTTGGGTTTTGTAAAAAAAACCCTCTACTATCACACAACATCATGCCCTATTTAATCTAAATAATAAAAACATTGCAGCTATAATTGTTTAAATATATTTTATTGAAAGTAAAAATGGCGAGATCACGCTGGAACTGTTGGGATTTATTATACATTATAACCATTAGACATCATGTCTACTGCTTATTGTATAACTGCAAACTAGTCTGTGTATCCAAAACACCTAGCACTGATCTACCCACTCCCTATTCCTCTTCTGAGTTCCATTGTAATCTAATTTAGCTGTCACCTAATTTAATCTCAGAAGTTCAGAATACAGGGATTCTACTTTCTTCATTTTTAGATTATATAGTTACATTGTTGCTTCTTGCTCTTGCGGGTGCACATCTTGTGTCTGTATCAAGGCACCATCTGACCTCTGTATGTCCTCTGTTCCTTATGTGCATCATACATATGATCACTTCTATGTTTTTGGTTTTTTTTACTATTTCCAGACCAGCAAGTGCCTACCTCTGTGGGAACCTGGGCAGCTGTGGTGGGAACACAGTGTCAAGGTCACCCTCGAACTCTGTCACCACTATCCCATAGAAAATACACACATAGTTTCAAGATTCCCTAAATCCACAATTTTCTGTGATTTGACTCACACGAGTGGATCTAGAATGCATCTCAACAGACGCGGCTCAAAATTAACCTGAAACAGCCTCAATGTACAAAATCTAGTAGCACCTGCAATCGTATAAACTGACTGACCCTCTCAAGTCATCACTTTTCAGGCTAAACGAATGACATTTAGGATATTTTTACTGATGTCAAATGTCAAATAAAGCATGTAAGAGTTAATACATGTGATACAGCTATAACATGATTGGAATCCTTAGGCAACCCTAACAGCACAACGAGCTCATGTTTGTTCTTCTATTGCCATCATGGGCCATCAAGTAAAGATTTATGGTAGGAAAATTAAAATGCTATTAATTTAAAATAAAATTTACAGTAGGGCTCACACTCTCTATCTGCTGTAAGCTGTAAATACTGCCTAGTGTAACTGTACTGTAATACCGCAACATTAGGCAACCCAGATGTAATCTAATGCATCACTGTTTCCATTTTATTGTTGCTCTTCTTCTTCCGAAATCAAAGACAGTCATGATGCAATGACTGTAAAATGATACTGGGAGGAAAAGAGAGGGCTCAGAGGAAGATCCAAAATAACACTGTGCAAATAAATCCTAGCAGCGTGGGAGTCTGGCTTTATGTGTGTGTGTTTGTGTGTGTGTGTGTGCTACTGATCATCTAAAAGACAGCATTCAAGAAAACAAATAAGGCAAAATTATGGAGTGTGACAGTGATATATTATGTTTTTTTCCTAGTTTTACTTAAACCCTTCAAGACAACTCTGATTTTAGAGACATATGTACTCGCGATTGGACTAAAAGCTTGCCGTTGGTGTTTCAGCACACCCTGATTAAGAAACAGTTCACAAAAATCTAACTTGGTGAAACACTTCATTAAGTTTTCAATTTTTTAATAAAATAGAAATTTTATATGACATACCTGCTGAGAAAAAGGAGATCAGTCAAATGAGTAACTCTGAAGTCAACTATGATGAAACTGGGGTGTCTTTAAATCCTAATCCAAAATTCCTTCATCGTTGTCCAAGGATACTTCAGCTTTCAGTGACCTTTGCAACTTCGTATCTTCATCCCCGTTTCTGGAAGTCGTCTTTCTGCGTTAAGCAGTTCATCATCAGGTAGAATTCCACTTCTGTTTTGTGCGGAAATCTGTGAACGAGATGTACTTGCCCATTCTGAATATCTCCAAATTTTTCAAACACCCTCCTGTCTATCGGCCTCTCCATCTGTGTTTGTAAATCTCACCTGTGTCAGTGTGTTCTTATTTTTCTCTTCTCCTATTTCTCCTTCTTTTTCCATCATTTTTAGTCTCTCTCTTCATTCAGCGGCTCGGGCTTAATACCTTCCTCCCTCACTCTCTAAAGCTCTCTTCAGTTTCATCCCCGGACAGGAAGTCTTAAAATGTGTTTACATTCCCGGGAACATGCATGTGCCCATATACACTGTGCACACACACACCAGTGTAAAGCACAAGCATGCACACATAAAACATATTCTGTAACAAATGTTGTGCATTTTCTAGGGGTTTTTCTTTCTGATTTTGTGACTTTCTTTCATATAAACAGAGTGCGCAGTGATGGATTCTTATATCAAACATGGCCAAAGTTTCAAAAGCTTAGCCAGTGTTTGAAGTAATCCCTGTGAACCAAAAGCTCAGGCTTCAGACTTGGCTCTCCATGATGTCAAACAGAAGGAGTATCTTTAACATAGTCCTCTCAAGCACAAGAGTTACATACATCTGCTGTTCAAACCCTTTGTTTGAGCTGAGTGGCCAATCAGGAAAGGCAGATGTTTCAGACAAATGAACTGAGGGCATGCAAAGAGACATAGTGTAAGATACATATAAATTTGGCTCATCTGCACTTTACTACAATCGAAATAAAAAATATTGGTGAACTTGTATGAAGGAAAATTAGAGGCTAAATATTGTTTGCTGTTTTTCTTCACTGGATTTTTTTAAAATGTGTGAAAATTTGTGTGGATATGCACACGCACATGTGTGTGTTAGACACATCTACTGTATTTTGTAGACATTTCTTAAATGTGTTGATAAATGTATAAAGACATGATTAGATTGCTTTAAATGTATTTACAAGCAACAATTACATTACAAACTTTGAAAAACTCATGTAATGTAATGTACTCAAATTGATGGATGCTTAATTATTGTCATCATGTCTCCTGTAATGTGCAGCATTTAGCATATCTTATATTTTTTATCCATAACCTAAATACAGGAAGTACATACACTGGTCTGACTAAAAATCACATTCAAATGTAAGACTCGGGATGTCTCTTGATAACTAGTCCTGGTTCAAGCATTCATCAGTCTTGCAGAATGGGACAGGTTTAGGTCTCCTGGTTTCCTGGCAGGAGAATCATCATCACTCATAACTTGTCAGGCTAGCTAGAAAAGATCCGGAATAACGGATGCCAAGAGAAGCGCCATGGATCAACCTGTTAGAACGAGCAGGGTAAGAACAGAATGGAAAGAAGTGCATGGAGCAAGGGCACGGGAACATTTTAGAGAAATACTCAGAGAAAAACATGGAGTAAATATATATGTCTGCACATGTGGGTAAACAGAAGACAGACCGTTACAGTATATAATGTCTTTGTGAATGTAAGCTGTTATAGAGATGGTGCATCAATCTGTGGGTAAGAGGATCTGGAAGGTGTGGTTTATATCATTCTGAACACCGATGATTCGTAACAGATGTTGACATTTTTTGCATTTCTTACATTGGTGCAGCCATCTGCAGCAAAAAAGTAAAGTCTCCTGCCTTCCTTGTTTAACGGGAATGAGGAGATTTTTTAAATTATTCTGTAAACAACTACATGTATCCCTCATGACAACAAGCACAAGAGGAAAACATGAACTTACTTGTGGAGTCTCTACAGAAACAATAATATCCTTAAAGACAGGAACCAAACTAGCCTTGTACAATTTCCTACCAAGTCCTTAAAGAAAAAATTATACCTGTTTATTTTTGTTTTGAAGGGATTGCCTCACATATCCAAAGTCCCCTGTCTTATCTACAGTCTAATCGCCCGTGATGATTGTTTAACCAAATGTCACACTTGAGAAACTTTATGATTTGTCCCAGACTTCATGTTTAACTCTCTGTCAACCTGACAAAATGCAGGTTCACAGCCCTGTCCTCACACCTATGGATGACTAATCTACTAGCACATGGAGAGAAAGTGAGAATGTGATCTGGTTTTGTGCCCTTGGATAAAATAAAAAACTAAAATAAACTGTCACTGTCAGTAGGCAGTAAGCCTGATCCTCGTGACTATGAGTCCTTAAACCCTTGTTTTGGTAAATGTCTGTGACTAAAGATTGAAGTGTATGAGTATTAATGACTGTGTCTGGATGTATTATTATACAGGGAGTGCAGAATTATTAGGCAAATGAGTATTTTGTCCACATCATCCTCTTCATGCATGTTGTCTTACTCCAAGCTGTATAGGCTCGAAA